GAGCCAATCCATCTGGGTGTGGCCTCCAACAAGTCACTTACCCTCTCTGGGACTGAGATCCGTCAGGAGGTCAGAACAAGGTCCTTTCCAACTCTGAAATTCTGTTATCTTTAGACTATCTAAGGTTTGCACAGACTTACACACCACTACACAACTCAAACAAAGACTGACAACATTCAGCACAAACACTGCATGTGAATGGCTTCTCGTGTCATTTTGAAGAGCCAGAATCCAGGGGTGTGTGTCCGGCCGGCATTGTCCACATTAGTTATCTGGGCAGGAAGGCCTGTTCATACAAAAGACTGGAAACATTCAGCACAAACACTGCATGTGATGGCTTCTCATGTCATTTTGAAGAACCAGAATCCAGGGGTGTGTGTCCGGCCAGCATTGTCCACGTTAGTTATCTGGGCAGGAAGGCCTGTTCATACAGCCTTTTGGGACAAAGGACAGCTGAAAAGCATTTTATCGCCTCCATAATATTGGAGGGGTAGATCTCATCTGTGCCTCCTAATGACTTCCTGTGTGAAACGGAAGATGCGGTAGAAGCAGACAAAACCAGCCAGGCCTCAGCAGCCTTCTAATTATCCCCGTGACCTCATTAAGGCTTTTATTACGGTCGTGTATTAAGCAGTGACATGCTCAGCCCCGGAGAGGGTAAGCGACTTGCTGAGTGACTGTGCTGAAATCAGTGCCTTCCATCTGTTGTCTCTCTTGAAAGTCCTTCCCCAAACCCTGTGCGAGACATTATCATCCTCCTGTTACGGATGGGGCAGCTGAGGCTTACAGAGGCAACCTCGTGGCAAGAGGGAGAGTGAACCCATCCTGTCTGCTTTTGACCACCAGGCCCTGGTGCACCCTCTGCCGGTCACTTCCCAAACCTGCATGTTATTTCCTCTCTTGCTAGTAAATACTACGAAAAGGAAGCACTCCTGATGGACCCTGTGGATGGCCCCATCCTTGCGTCTTTGTTGGGTGAGTCCCCGCTCACAGGGCCCCTCCTAAGGGCCTCGCTCACCTCCCTCCAGCCTCCCCCATCAAACTCACTTGTTCCCCGTCTGTTGCTCCCAGAGTCTTGTTTCTTGCCTTAGCAGGACTCTGGGGCACCCTAGCTGACCAGAGGAGAGGGATAGTGCAATGGGTGGCCCACCTGGAGGTAGACGGGAGGGCAGACTTTCAGGGGCCAAGGATTACCAGCCCCTCTGCTCTGCAGTGGGGCCCTGTGCCTTGGAATACACCAAGATGAAGACGGCGGATCACTTCTGGACCGATCCCTCTGCCGACGAGCTCGTCCAGAGGCACCGCATCCACAGCTCACACCTGCGACAGGACTCGCCCACCAAGCGCCCCGCCCTCTGCGTGAGTGGGGTGGGCAGTGAGACCCTGTGGGGGAATCAGGCTGAGTTCCTGACTGGGCGTGGGGGCAGGGGATGGAGTGGGGCCTTGAAGGTCACTCCAACCTCATCCTCTACCTCTGCGCACACTGCCAGATCCAGAAGAGGCTTTCGAGTGGCAGCATGGATGACCGCCCATCCCTCTCGGCCCGTGACTATGTGGAGTCCCTGCACCAGAACTCCAGGGCCACCCTGCTCTATGGCAAGAACAACGTTCTCGTTCAGCCGGTGAGAGCTCCTCGTGGGCCCAGATCTTCCGCTGGGGGTCTGGCTCCATGTTACAGAGAAGTTCCCTTTGGCTCTAGGCTGCCCATTCATTCATCCACCCACCTACTCACCCATCTATTCATTCATCTGCCAGTATTTTCTCTATCCATTCATTCATCCATATGCTGCTATTTCCTTCATTCATGCATCCACATGCCAGTATTTCCTTCTATCAAATCCATCCATGCATCCACCCATATGTCAATATCGTCAGCCAGCCTATCACTTCTCTTGCAGTGTCTATAGCCACCATCCTTCTGTTCCTGCACTTCCCACCATTGCTTCGTCCATCTTCCTGTATTTATGTCCACTCACCCATCCATCCATCCATTTGTCCATTTATTTTCTAGTCCATCTGTCCATCTACCTGTTCATCTAGCCATCTCTTCATTCATTCTCTCGTTACCACTCATTCAGCACACCTTTATACGGAACCTGCTAAGTGTTAGATGCTTAGGATAGCAAGATAAATATCTTCATAGTTAATATTGATTAAGCACTTCCTATGTGTTGGGCACTGTGCTAAGTGCTTTTAATTCTATCAACTCGTTTAAACTTCACAACAACCATTTGAGGCAGGTGCTGTTATCCTAGCTGATTACACTGCGGCCCATGAGGGCAGAGTGAGGCACAGAGTTATGTGAATTCAGGATGGCTGGTGCCAGAAGTTGCCACTCACCAGTCATCCTCTGTGCCCTGCACTGGGCCAGGCCCCAGGAATAGCGATGAGCGGGCATATGGTGCCCCTACCTTCATGGGAATTCTCCTTTGCTGTCCCCTCCCCGGGAACTCTAGGGTCAGTGTAGTGTTTGGGCTCAGCTGAGAGGAAGCAGAGGGACAGCTGTTGGCCACCCAGCTCTGTGGTCACCATTACAATCACTGGGTGACCCTGAGCAAGTCACTCCTCAGTATCCACATCATAGTGGGTACAGCACCCTCTTTCCTGAGACCTAAGAAGCATCCATTTAAGATGCACCATTTTTTGTAAAACTATCAGGAAATTGAAAGTGCTATTAAATTATATACAGTGTTTTCTCTCTACTTGAAACTCTTATGTGTTTTGAAAGCTCTTTGAGATTTATTTGGATATAGTTTTTATAAATGCCAGGCCTCCTTCCAAGAACTTTTCTCCACATGTGCAGTAACCACCATGCACAAAACTTAATTGAAATAACAATATGAACAGCTGTGACTGAGTGTACATGAGTCAGGCAATGATAACGGCATCCCAGTGGTGGGATGCTGCTGATTATAAGATGCACCCTCGTATTCAGGCACATGGAAATGTGAAAGACAGATGCGCATCTTAGAATGGATGAAAGACTGCGACTGTGCCCCCTTGGTGGAGCCGCAGGCTTGGGTGGTTCAATTGAGACATGTGACCCTGAGCCATACTGGATACATACCAGATGCTCAGTAAATGTTAGTTGTTGGTCTACAAATGTTGTTGAGGTGAATTTGGTGGAGGAGCTGCCGCCTCTAGAGACTTAGAGACACCCCTCTCCAGTCCCTTCCCCACTTGGGATACATATAGCAGGTGAGAAGCCCTGCAGGCAGATTGGGAAGCCAGAGGCCCAGGCTGCTGGGCAGGGAGGATGCTGCGGGTATGTGGGGAGGGGCTTCTGGGTAATGTCTCGGGGAGCAGACAGAGGTTAGCTGCAATTTTTTTCTCCCTTAAGACTGGCTAAAATGATGGTGGGTAAGTGTCTTCTGCTTTGAAAAATGTGGTGTTGAGAGGGACAGAGCTCCTTCTTGCTTCTAAAGAATTCCCAGGTCCACCCTTGCAGCAGGGCCCTGGACCTCAGAAGGGAGGTGAGGGTATGAAAGTGCGAGGGGCAGGCAGCTCCCACAGCTGGGTCTACTAGTATAGCACCCATCCTGGTGGTTGGCTGCAATAGCCTTGCTTAGTATGGCCTCCTAGAAGGAGGTTCAGGGCCTTCCAAATAGCCATGACCTTGGATGACCCAACCTCTTGGTTCCGGTTATGTGTCCTTGAGTCCAATGGACCATGTTAACTGTTCACCCTGGCACTTCAACCAGGTCTGAGTCCTTCTCTCTCTACAGAGGGATGACATGGAGGCTGTCCCAGGGTACCTGTCCCTGCACCAAACTGCTGACCTCATGACCCTGAAGTGGACACCCAACCAGCTGATGAACGGGTCTGTGGGAGATCTGGACTATGAGAAGAGGTAGGGTGCCAGGTCCCTCCCCTCCCCTTGGCACAAGGAAGTTTGTGCCCCGTCCCTTGTGCCCTGCCCCTACCTGCTGCTCCATCTGGTTGCTACAGTCGCTTGGCCCAGCCTCCCTATGGCAGTGGCCTCATGGGGAACTCAAGAACTTGGGAGGATCCGGTAACCAACTGGAAGAATCTTAGGGTGTGGGAACGAGGCAGAGCCCTGGCCAAAACACCAACCAGTAATAACATTTTTTAAAAATATATTTCTTTATTGATTCAGAGAGGAAGGGTGAAGGAGAGAGAGAGAAACATCAGTGATGAGAGAGAATCATTGATTGGCTGCCTCCTGCACACCCCCTACTGGGGATCGAGCCCGCAACCCAGGCATGTACCCTTGGCCGGAACCGAACCTGGGACCCCTCAGTCCGCAGGCTGACGCTCTATCCACTGAGCCAAGCCGGCTCAGAAATATCTTAACAAAGATTTCATACGTTTGGCCAAATCAATGGGGAGTTCCCAGGCTACAGTCTACCATTGGAGGAGTCCCCTGTCCCACAGGAATAGGCCCACACTGGCCCCACTTGTGCTCAGTCCTGGTGGAGAGGGAGTGTGGCCTTGGCATAGCACAGTGGTGCATCCAGAGCGGTGGCCTCTCATGCCATTGGTCAGCTGCTCCCCACAGCAAGGTCTTGGGTCTCGTGAAGGAGAGCTGAGCAGTGCATTCCTGTGGCCCCACCTCCCATTGTGTTCTGAGAGGAAAGCTGAAAAAGACAAACCTGTAAATCACAGGGCCCATTAACCCAGCACTTTTTAGAATGTATCAGTGCCACGTTGAGCCCTTCAAATGGGCAATTCCATTTAATCCTCATAGCAGTACTGTGCAGTGGGCATAGGCATCCTCATTTGCAGAGGAGGAAACTGTGGCTCATCGAAGCCTCTAAGTCACACTGCTGGGACCTGTGAAGTCAAGGCTGTTGAATGGCTGTTCTGACTCCTGCCCGTGGACATAGGATGGCCTGAAGTTAGGATCAGCGTTAGTCAAGACTCGGATACCAGTGACAGAAAACCGAACTCAAGCCGACTTTTAAGCATTTGCACACATGAGTTGGAAAACCCCGGGGCAGTGGCTTCAGGCATGGCTAGATCCAGGGACTCAAGTGAGGAAGACCTGAACACTTTCCATCTCTTGGCTCTGCTTCCTGACTGCTGACTCCATTTTTTCTTGCCATAACCTCACATCTCCAGACTTCTAGCATCCTTGCCACTACTTTCCTAGCATGAAGGAGCATCTGTTCCCCAGTAATTCTAATATAAATTTGATAATTGAATCTCATTGGTTCTGCTTATGTCACGGGGTCATCTCTGAACCAATCAATCACTGGGGCCAAAACAGTAGAATAAGTTGATTGGCCAGGCCTCAGTCAGGTGGCTATTCTGGAGTTCTGGGGTGGAGGGTGGGTGAGGTCAGCCTCAGCCACATGGAGTGGAGGCAAGGGAGGAGGGGACCAGGGAAGAGGAGATAGTCTGGGAAGACTGTGATACAGATGTTAGGGTCAGGTGGGTCCTGGTGAGAAGAGTGGAGGAACCCATGGGTGTGGTCTTCTGGCCTCCGGGGCCCTCCCCCACGGTGATGTGGACAGCCATCCTGCAGCTCTGACCTTCCCTCACCTTCCAGTGTCTATTGGGACTATGCCATGACCATCCGCCTGGAGGAGATCGTCTACCTGCACTGCCACCAACAAGGTAGGGACTGCCCGCCCACCCGCCCCCTTATTGCCTGTGCAACCTCAGGCAACTGACTTCACCTCTCTGAGCCTCAGTTTCCCCTCAGTGGGGATCATACCAGGACCTACTCATGGGGTTATTGTGAGGATCAAGTGGCATATGTTAAGGTCTCAGCATCAAACCCATGGTGTTCGTTGCTAATACTGAGCAATTATGATGTGCCAAGCATGGCTAGAGTATTTACATGCCTGTTACTTAATCATCACAACAACCTAGTGACAGGGGCTCCATCACGGCCAGTTCACAGGAGAGGAAGCAGCATGGCACAAAGACATGCAGCTTATAAGCCCCAGAGCCTGAACTTGAACCCAGGTCTTTGTCACTCCAAAGTCAGTGCTCAGCCGACCTGGGATTAATAACTAGCATTCCCCTTTAAAGCCCAAGGAAGGCATATTCATAATAAGCAGAGAGCCATACTGCTTTGGAAAGCAAGGGACCTGTGGCCAACCGAGGTGTAAAACATATAAGCTTATTTAATGAGATAGAACTGGATTCCAATCCACACCCTGCCATTTACTAGCTGTGTGACCCTTGGCAAGTTATATAACCTCTCCGAGCCTCGGTTTTATCATTTGTAAACTAGGCAATAAAGATATTTTGAGTACTACAATAAGATGGTACCTTTAACGTGATGTGCTTATATACAGTAAGTGCTCAATCCGTGCTACTGCCAGTTACTACTGCGCTGAGAAAGCCTCCATACAAAAATAGATGAAGTAGGTTTGTAAAGGGTGCTTGAGAGGCATGGGTGTTGGGAGGCAGCCTTTCCCTTTGCTGGGGGCTGTAGGACATGTTCTTCTTGACCGTGTCCTACAGCTCCTGTGAACAATGATCATAGGTGGGATGAGAGGGACTTGGGGGAGGTGAAACTGCCCCTGACCTTCTGTCCAGACCTGTCCCAGAGCCTCAAAGCAGGTCCATTTATTGGCCTGGGGGTATGTGTTGGCCGGGAGGGCCCGTCACCATGCCTCTTAGTGACTTCCTGCTGGGTCTTCTGTGGTCGGTCACATGGCAGTGGACAGCGGCGGGACGGTGGTGCTGGTCAGCCAGGACGGGATCCAGAGGCCACCCTTCCACTTCCCCAAGGGAGGGCACCTCCTGCAGTTCCTCTCATGCCTGGAGAACGGGCTGCTCCCTCACGGGCAGCTGGACCCACCGCTCTGGTCTCAGCGGGGGAAGGTGAGTGATCGTGGCTAGGGGTGGGGTCAGCCAGGGTGAACGGTCATTCTTGCCCAGGAGCCCTTAGGTGGCTTTTCGGGCTCATGCGCACCCCATCACGACCCTCATGACGTGCAGTTGGGGGACAGGTGTGTCCCAGGGACTGTGCACTGGGACATGTTCTTTCAGGGCAAAGTATTTCCCAAACTGCGCAAGCGAAGCCCTCAGGGTTCTGCCGAGTCCACAGCTTCAGACAAGGAGGATGACGAGGCCACGGATTACGTGTTCAGGATCATCTACCCCAGCCTGCAGTCCGAGTTCGGTAAGTTGCCCTGTTCCTGGGCCCAGGGAGCCAGCCATTAGCTGATCCTAAAAATGAACTAGGCGTTTGGAAAGAGAGGGCAAGAGGTCTGGATTCTGGGCTAACGGGTGAACCTGGAATCAGGAAGTTCATACCTTGGTGGCCTTGATTTGCCCCCATATGAGAACAAATAACCACTCTCCTTAGCGAATAAAGATGCCACTGACTGGGAGGCAGCATGGGAAGTGGCAGTGACCTGGACTCTGGAAATCATGTTGAACTCGGGCAAGTCACTTTAACCTCCTATGCCTCAGTTTCATCATCTGGAAAATGGGGTGTCTACAGCACATATTTCATAGGGCTTTTGGAGGATTAAATTAGATAAGTCACTTGACACAGAGAGAACACTCAGATGTTAGCTGCTATTGTGTTATTATACTTCAACATATTGTAAGGATTTAATGAGATAATGAGATGATCAATGTAAAGCCCTTAGAATAAGGTCTTGCACGTAGTAGGCACTCAACAAATGAGTCAACGCAGCAAAGGGAGGCACAGTGCTTGGCACTAGCACAGGAGATGAGCTGCCTGCTGATTGCCGTGAGACAGATGCTTAGTGAATGGAGATATTAAGATGATCATTACCATGGACTGTTAGGATTAAGTGAATTACTATTTGAAAAGTTCTTGAAAGGAGGCCTGACATTTATTCAGCACTGTATGGACGGACGTCTGTTAAACAAATCAGTATTAAGTTATACATCCTTTCTGTTATTTAACCCTCTGTGGCCCCATTGATCCAATCAGATGGCTAATGGCTTGAAGCCTCCCTTTGCTTAAGTGACCTCGGCTGCGCAGTGAGAGCAGATGTCCTTCCAGCAAGGTTGAACTAGCCATGCCCGGCCACTTAGTGCTCCATCTCTCATCCATCACTGAGTTGGATTGGCAGTAAGATCCTACAGGGCTTGGTTCAGTGTGTTTCCATCCATATTTTCCTTCCTGAAGAGCCACAGAGAGTCCTGAAGTGTTCCTTAGCATGTGCACTCCTGCCCAGGCTGTCTATATGCACAGCCCCACCAGAGAGCTGGTTCATTAGCCAACACCAGATGCCCTGTGGCCACCTTCCCAGAAAACTCTCTCCACAGGGGCTCATCCTCCAACAGGCTCTTGCCGGAGCCAGGCTGGATTCCCTCATTTGGGGAATATCATTGTTAGCTTCGTGTGGCTGCATGTGCCACCAGGACAGACGCCAGGATTCAAGACACTAGAATGCACAATCCGTTGTGATAGGGGCTGTCCTGTACACTGAAAGATGTTGAGCAGCAACCCTGGTCTCCACCTACTAGATGCCAAGTGGCCAATCCATCCCCTGCCCACCAAGGGTGGCAACCAGAAATGTCTCCAGTCATTGCCAGGAAACTGGAGGAAAATTGTGTCAGGCTGAGAGCTGCTGGTTCAGAGAAAAGCTCACATCAGTGCATTCAACTCGGCCACTGTGTGTGGGGCGGTCGGGGTTGGGGTGCCGGGTGAAGGTTCAAGTCCCGAAGACTTGGTTCTTCTGGCTGGTTCCGTGTTCTGCCCGCCTCAGACTTTCCATTTCACTGGTGTTTTTTGTCTTGTGTCTCAAGTTGTTCCCGACCCCTTGGGCAGCACATCCTCGGTCTCCATGGGCCCTGCCTGGATGGTGGTTCCTGTGGGCCGGACCATGCTGGTGGTGGCCAGGGGCAGTCGGTGGGCCCAAACCAGATGGGACGCCACCCTTCCCATACCAGGCTTGAAGCAGCAGCCCCCCAGTAATGTCTGGGTCCCCCCAACCGTTGGGACTGGGTGCCAGCCCCCTCTGCCATGTTGTCATTTGAGTCTTGGTCCTAGTGGAGATGGAGGTGAAAGACAAATAAGTACCCTTATGCTGTCCAGTTGGTACCCTGCGTGATGCAGCTTGGAGTGCTGTGGGTTTAGTAGTGAAGGGATCCATTGGTGATGTCTACAGAGTGAGAGAGACTGGGGGCAGAGGCGTGCCTGCCACACCTCGGCACAACTGATCAATGCTCCCCTGAGATTGGCTAAGAACTGGGGCTGTTTTTCTAGAACATGTTACAGGGGCTTGCTGGTCATTTTTGGCCAGCTCATTGGTGAGTCTCCTTGGGAAGGTTTAGTGTAACAAGCCAGTTTTGGTGGCCCCCAAAGCCTCATTCAGGAGACAGCTTTGTCCTACGTCATTGGGTGACCCTGTCACCCACTGAGCTCTGATGACAAGTGGGGCTGAGTCCACAACTACCCTCCCCTTGGAGCCTAAGAGAAGATGCCATATTACCACTCATCCTTGAGGACGCCTGGCACCAGGGTAAATATGCATCCCTCTTAATTTCCTGGAGCAGGGCTTGGCAAACATGGCCTGCAGGCCAAACCCAGCTTCATTCTGTACAGCCCATGAGCTGAGAATGGTCTTTACATTTTTTGAATAACTGAAAAAAATCAAAACCAGAATAATATTTTGTGACAGGTGATAATGATATGAAATTCACATTTCAGTGCCCATAAAGTTTTATTAGAACATACCCATGCTTGTTTGTTTACATTTTATGTATGGCTACTTCTGCACTACAACAGCAGAGTTGAGTGGTACAATAGCAACCAAGTGGCTCACAAATCCAACACTATATTCTACCTGGATCTTTACAGAAAATATTTTTTGAGCCCTGTCCTAGAGAAAATAATTTTTGCACCTGTCTCGACCTGCCAGGGGGCCAAGAAGTTAACTGTAGAAATTGTGATGTATATGTCACCAGTATGCTTGTTCTGCAGCGGCTCAGATCCTGCGGTGTTCTTGGAGCTGGGAAAGAAAACAGTGAGGGAAACTTAAGGGCCATATCCTGGGAGCAGTTGATCAGGAATCACCAATGTCCAGGGGTTAGGAGATCAGTCGTGCTTTCTTGGTTTTCAAATGTGGCTGCTATATCAGAATTGTTTTTGAAATATAGACTCAAGGGATGTATGACCAGGAGGTTGTTTTTTTTTAATTTTTTAAAATATATTTTATTTATTTTTTACAGAGATGAAGGGAGAGAGACAGAGAGCCAGAAACATCGATGAGAGAGAAACATCAATCAGCTGCCTCCTGCACACCCCCTACTGGGGATGCGCCCGCAACCAAGGTACATGCCCTTGACGGGAATCGAACCTGGGACCCTTCAGTCTGCAGGCCGACACTCTATCCACTGGGCCAAACTGGTCAGGGCATGACCAGGAGGTTTTAATTGGCTACGCCAGGGGTGGGATACAGGCTTATGGCTTTTTAATAAGCCCCCGCCCCCATGTGATTCTGGAGGTGGCCAGCCTCCTTGAGACCCATTGAAGCAGCTGGATCAGGACCACGGACAGTGCAGGTACCCTCTTCTGTCAGTGGGAGGCTCCACTGGGTTCTCACCCATGTGTGCCCTGCCTCATCAGGTGAGTCAGGCTCCCTCTGTCTCACCACCAGAGACTCTCTCACCAGAAAGTCTTTCTCTGAGGACTGGAGACCGTCTGCCTTCCCCAGAAGCCCCCAGCAGGTCCCGTCCTCCCATGTCAGCCTCCTGTGGGGACAGCTGAATGACAACATGGTGTGAGGCATGGCCTCGTACTCTGGGATTGGGCCTGTTTTCTTGGCTCTGGTCTCTCTCTGGGTTCTCTTCCACTCTCTACTGTCATCAGCTCCGCCCATTGGCTGGGGGCCCCAAATTTTGGTGGTGGCTTTCACTGGATCAGGCGGGCTCAGGAACTTGGGTCAGACAACGATTGTGGTCGCTCTTTCCTACTGTGACATTAAGGGGCTTTCCCTATCCCTGTGCTGGCCTCGGAGTGAGCTGCTTGTTTGGGGGTGAGGCTTCTGTAACCCACATATGCTCAGTCAGGGCTCTTCTTCTGCCTTTCTACTCCCCACAGTGCCCCAGGACCTGATGGATGTCTCCATGAGCAACCTGCCATCCCTATGGCAACCCAGTACCCACAAATCTTCTTGCTCATCCTGTTCACAGAGTAGCTCAGGTGATGGTGGCTCAACCAATGGCTGCAAACATGAGAGGTATGAGGGGCTGGAGCTGTGGATGGAGGGGATTGGAAGGATTTACCAAAGATTTGGAGATACCTGTTACTTGCCTTGCACTGACTTCAGAGGCTCCGGAATCATCCAAATCCAGGTTAAATCCTAGCCTTGTGAAGTCCTAGCTGTTGGAGCTTCCTTACATGGAAAAGGAACTTATGTCGCAGTAACAAACAGCCCTAAAATCTCAGTGGCTGTTACAACAAAGGTTTATTTGTCTTGCATGCTATGTGTCTATTATGGATCAGTTGGAGACTGCTTTCTGCATATCAAAGGCCCCGCTGATGGAGCCACCACCATCTTGAATATTGCCAATCACAGTGACTGAGGGAAATGGCATGGAGGGACTCGAAGCTGCATTTAAATGCCCCAGGTCAAATGAGGCACCTGTCATTTCCACTCACACCTCATTGGCCTTGTCTACAAGGAGCCAGGAAGTGAAGTCCCCCCATGCACTTCCAGGCAGAAACCAGAAATATTACTTAATGACAACCACTCATGCCTAAATGGGACACTAATGCTTACTTTATATAGCTATTGTAAGGACATATCAAATAATGGTTTGAAGTAGCCAACATGTGGTACATGGTAATGCTCAATAAACTACACGCTATTTTATTGTATAAAGTTAAATCCCAAGATCAACTCTTTCTTTGCACATAGAGCTTTGGTCTCTTTGGAAGAATGACGCGGCCCATTCGTGAGAATGGTCTTGTTTCCTGCTGCCCTGGCCTGGCCTACAGGAGTGGAATGCTCTTTTCCCTTCTGGGCCTCTGTCCCAACGGGTGGTCAGTCAC